TTAGCGTATATTTCACTCGATGAAAGCCCATATTCCGTGTCCACATTCGACAGCCGTCTGCCGCGGCTTAATAATCCCACGTACACGAGTCGATCACCGAGACTCCGTTTTCGATGCGAAAGTGGTGGCGATCCCTCGTCTACTTACAAACGACGTCGATTCCTCGATTGAAATTCGTATCGCGATAACAGTCTGTATAGTAATTCGAACAGTTCGATTCGTTTGTAATTCGAAAGGATAATTACTCCCCTTCGTCAAACACGGCACGGCAATCGCCACGAAAATGCAATGAAAATGTACACTTCTTACACGAGTGCAAGTGATCGAGTAGTTGCCGTCGTGGCAGTCTACTACTACTACTCGCGATTGCACAAAATAGTTTGCAGTAGATAGAATAGTTAGCAGTTTTTCCCCAACATTGTCAGGGCCTGTTGGATTTATCGCTATCGATATATACATCTAGAAATGCACTGTGGATGTGTTCGTTGATTTATCGGCGTCTATTGTCGCGACAAAGGATCAATGGAACAGCAATCTACCAATCGGTGAAGCGGGATGTACGCAATGCGCGACGCTGCACGCCGCCATGTCTGTAATCCCGTGCTCTCGAATTTACATGAGAAACTGTGCGCGCGCGAAACCGTCCAATTTCGTCGTTTACGTATCGCTGTTACATCATTCTATCCACATTGTGCATTCGAGTGAGCTGAAAAAATTATTTCCCTGCAAATGCAAATTTATTCTCCCTTCTTCGTTCGACAAAGCTTCGTTCGCTTTCGAACGAGTTAGATATCCATCTCTTCTGATTTACATCATTTCTTTTACAAAATTTGTCGCTTCTTCGCTTTGGATTCGACTCGGGCTAGTCCTTCTCCTGCATTTCTATTCCTCATTCGGTCCAATCCGACGATTTTCGCAACTTCGATATTTCCTTCTTTGTCTGAAATATTATCGATATGCATGCCAGTATCATATCACATATCGATAAAGTCAGCGTAGAAGGTATACGTTAAAGTTAAAGTTAAAAAGAGAGAAACAACTTTGAGCAATGGTATTTCCAACTGCGACGATTGCTGCCCATCGAAATTCGTTGAAACTTAAAATGTCAAAGTCTAATCGCACGAAGAGTGGAACAAAGTATATATTATACTGAAGAGTAGAGGCAGGCAGGCTGCAAAGTTGAAACATCAGCTGCGACACGACGGTAGCACTTTCCCTTTCGTCGAACAATGCGCCTATTCACGGGACGCGATAGAAAAATAATGGCAACGACGTTGAATCGGTAACAACTGAACGCGATACACTTGTGTGATTGTTAAATTGGGTCAAGGGAGATTGCATGGCGTACTTGATTCTCCATCTGCATAAAGCGTCGTAAGGTTTCTCTATCAAGGCAGCTGAACTGATTACGTTACGCCAAGTTATCTCTTTCAGGTTACTATCACAGTCACGAGCAATGGAACATTTCGCCCGACGAATCGTCGAATATTTTTCTATTAACGTCACTCCAAACGCCAATCAAATGGATACGTAACGAGACAAAAAAGTGCGAAACGAAACG